GGCAGTTCAAAAATATTTTAGTATTATAACTTGTTAACGAGAAACCAACTTTTTAGAGAATAAAAGTTTTGAGATGGCTTGACTGATATTATAACTTGTTAACGAGAAACCAACTTTTTAGAGAATAAAAGTTTTGAGATGGCTTGACTGATATTATAACTTGTTAACGAGAAACCAACTTTTTAGAGAATAAAAGTTTTGAGATGGCTTGACTGATATTATAACTTGTTAACGAGAAACCAACTTTTTAGAGAATAAAAGTTTTGAGATGGCTTGACTGATATTATAACTTGTTAACGAGAAACCAACTTTTTAGAGAATAAAAGTTTTGAGATGGCTTGACTGACTAATGAAAAGACTTTATTATGAATGTACGACGTCAAGCCTTCTCAAAACTTTTACTTCAGTATTACATGGAATGTCATCTCCCCCAATCATACCAAACTTATTATTATAAAAATACATAGAACCTACGCTGAGTAAAATAAAACACGCTGTAGGGACTTAATGGGCACTTTGACATTATCAAAGGTTATTAATTATTTAGTTTCGGATAAAACATACGCTATAAGTAACACAAAATACTTATACCCTAATACATTCACGGACTCAGAGCGTTAAAATCCGAGGTTCGATTCCTCGCGATAAATAGAGTGCAGATAGCCCACTGTGTAACTTTTCGTTAGAAACAACATCATCATCATTATTATGATTAATTTGTTGTATTAATTCAGTTCAACAAAAAGTAAGCATCACTTTTATTTCCATTTCGAAAGAACGTATTTAAGCGTTCGGTGTTGGAGGAACTGTTGTTCATAAATAAAGAGTGCGCTGAAAAGCTGACAAGTGATTAAATAATGGATAAAGACAAATAATTTCAAGCATAACTATTGAATTAATCAAGAATTACTTAAATAATTTCTTAATTATAAAATGGATAAAAGGCTAAGAATATACAAGTCTGGCTTTGCAAAAATAAGTACGATTAAAAAAATCAGAGAAAGCCCAAGGTGGAAAAAAAGATACATTGATAAATATTTTATTCTTAGCACATCAGTAAAAGCAACAGGTGACTAAGAACTAAAATAAAATGACGAAGAATACCCAAGTAACAGAAAAGACAGAAGAAAAGTTTCTGCACTTTAAAAAAAACGATTAACGAAGATAATAACAGAATACCAGAACTCGATATTTTGGATATTGGTTTGTGGCCAAAAATATAGATGTCAGAACAAAAGACATGTCAGTAAAACATGTAACTGAGCAATCTGTGGGTCGTGGGTTCGAATCCTCGTCCCTCCAAACATGCTCGCCCTTTCAGCCGTGGGGGTGTTATAACTGACGGTCAATCCCACTATTCGTTGGTAAAAGAGTAGCCCAAGAGTTGGCGGTGTGTCTCTAGTCTTACACTGCTAAATTAGGGACGGCTAGCGCAGATAGTTCTCGTGCAGCTTTGCGCGAAATTCAAAACAAACAAACAATCTTCTTAACGAAAACAAACATGGGGGACGATTTTCATAAAATAACTAATTTTGTATAATGTTAAAAAAATTATATGGAAAAGTGAGATATCAGTTTTGGGTGTATTTTTAAACCTATACAGATGCGGTGTTACGTTTTTCTCGCAAATTATTTGAAGACAAGTCAATTCAGTCGACAAAAAACTCTAGTACCTCATTGGAAAAGCAGTATACATATGTCTTATGAAATAGAAAGAAAAGCTCCCCTTAAAAAGGAATTCTATAATACACAATACCATTCAAGCGTTAACCTGTTGGCCTGGCTTGGCCAGTTGGTTAGGGCGCTCGACTCGCAATTTGTGGGTCATAGGTTTAAATCCCCGTCTCACCAAACATGCCGTGAGGGCGTTATAATGTGACATTGGTAAAAGAGAGCCCAAGTGTTGGCGTTAGGTGGTGATGACTAGTTGCCTTCCCTCTAGTCTTTCACTGCTAAATTAGGTACGGCTAGCGTAGATAGCCCTTGTGTAACTTTGCGCGAACTTCCAAACAAACCAAACCAATCGTTAATCTAAAGTGCAAAGCAGCATTTAACAGGTGTACTTAAAAGGGTAATTGCAGTTGTTATGCATATAACACAGAGAAATAACGCTTTTCGTGGAACTGTTCATATATTCAGTTACACCAGAAATGGAAATTTTTAATCTCAATTAGAATTAATAGTAAAGTTTGATCCCGTAATACCTGGTGGGTAGGGTGCTAGACTCGCAATCTGTGGGTCGCGGGTTCGAATCCCCGTCACACCAAACATGCTCCCCTTTTCAGCCGTGAGGTCGTTATAATGTGACGGTCAATCCCACTATTCGTTGGTAAAAGAGTAGCCCAAGAGTTGGCGGTGGGTGGTGATGACTAGCTGCCTTCCTTCTAGTCTTAAATTGCTAAATTAGGGACGGCTAGCGCAGATAGCCCTCGTGCAGCTTTGCACGAAATTCATAACAAACAAACAATGATCCCGTGATGAATGAAAACGTTCGTAGATTCAAAATAATCCGTTGTTATTATTTGAGTCCATAATGAGTTGATACAGATGTTCTCAAAAGAAGTCGTGAATGTAATTTTGTTCTAAATAGTAAACGTATGAAATACTGTTTTAGAATGGCAGACTGTACGCCTGACGGTAGTCATCAAGAGCAGCTGTCCATAGCTTTAACAGTGGTGAAATGAGGATGAACATTGACACAAATTTCATTTCCTTCGTTGATGCCGAGGAAATCAAACACTTTGCTCTAGCACAAGTCATTCTTGAAAAGCTGTTTGAAAATTGCAGAGTGCAGTGGTATCACAATGGCGCAAATATGCGAGGGCAACATAAGGGTGTGCAATCTAGGTTATTGCGATTAAACAACGAAATTTTACGTCCTTGCGGCTATTATTCTTTCATCCTTGTACTAGGTGATGCTGCAGATTGTCGATTTACATTAAACAATGTGTATGTATACTGTTTTTTCAGCATCAAATAGCAGAAGAGCATTGTAAGTCCGCATACTTACACTGTCCCACCGGAGAACGTTTTTCAAAGTTGGAGTTAACTAAAACGTATCTGAGACCGTTCATGTTTCAGGAGTGTCTCACAGGGCTGGTCACACTCTCCATCAAAATGGATATTGCAATAAAATTGTCGAAGAATTTGTAGCACAAACAATTAACGAGTAAATTTTTACACTTTATTAGCTATATAAAAGGTAATGTGAATACGGAGTACAGATAAATACCTTGCAGAGGGACAATAATTTTATCGTAGTGGCCCTATTTAGCAATTAACTTTAAAGAAATTCTAAAATAGTTCGATAAAATATGTTTCCTAGTTTATGTGAAAGTTTTTTTTTCATTTTGAAGCTTAAATATATGTAAAAAAAGTGAATGTAGTTTCTTATCACTTCAACGTAGGTTCAAGCATTTACTTAATTAGGCCTATGATCTATGACAAACATGATTAATATTCCACAGTAATTTGTCAATATGTTAATAGGGCCTAGGGTAATATCCGTAATACTATAGTTTAACAATTTTACGATTAACCTAATGTTAGTCTAGCCATAATTTGAATGTAACTACACTTGAAAGTGAAATTAGAAATTATGCTAATCCTATAACACCATTTTATATTCAATTTCATTAGTGCATATTGGTTTATAGAAGATATATTAATACCAGAAATAAACGACCTTATAACACCGAAATGTTGTTTCTATTTAATTAGACACTCAACGTTTCGCTGTACAGCTTCAAGCTTTGTACTGTCAGTTTCGGTTTGTGTTTTAGTGAACACTCCTGAAGAAGCTGTAAAGCGAAATGTTCAGTGCCTAATTAGATAAAAAAACTCTCTATATTGACACAGTAATAGTTATTTATAATCTATAGGCTTCGAGTCTGACGTTAGAATAAATAGGTCTAGGTTATTGCTGACATACAGACCTAATTTAGACTTAGGCATTTTTGTTTTGTTTGTTTTGAATTTCGCGCAAAGCTACACGAGGGCTATCTGAGTTAGCCGTCCCTAATTTAGCAGTGTAAGACTAGAGGGAAGGCAGCTAGTCATCACCACCCACCGCCAACTCTTGGGCTACTCTTTTACCAACGAATAGTGGGATTGGCCGTCACATTATAACGCCCCCACTGCTGAAAGGGCGAGCGTGTTTGGTGGGACGGGGACTCGAACCCGCGACCCTCAGATTGCGAGTCGAGCGCCTTAACCACCTGGCCATGCCGGGCCCGACTTAGGCATTAGTGGAAATCCTTTTTTTCCCGATAAATTATGAAAACATTACAAGTTCTATAAGTTGTTTCTAAATACTATCACTTGTTACGAATTGTTGCTGGAACGAAGAGATTATGATAACAGTTTATTGCATTCAATATAGGGTTACTAGATTTCTAGAGTGAAAAACTGGGACATTTTTCCGTACGGAGTGACACTATAACAGCCCTGAAACAGTTTAAATTAGAATAACCCATTTTTTATTTTTTTTACATTCGCTAAATAATCTGATGTTTATTGCATCGCGTTTCAAAACCATAAATAAACATAATTTGTTAAAAGCTTATACAATTAAAAATTAATAATAAATCAAAGAAAATCGCGACTAAGTTTTTTTGAACCTACTCAAAAGAAAAATATTATTTCTTCGTTTTCTTTTTCGCGGTTGGGTAGATCTTCAAATCTCAATTCCTGCGGCTTACCAATGACAGTTTAAGCTAAGAAATATATATTATAGAGAATGTGAAAGCTGTACTGTGTGATTTGCCTTTGTCAGATGGCTTTTCAAGTAAATTTAGAAAGCTGTGTATAATGACAAACCGTATATATAAAACTGGCAATGAGGTACAGAGAAACTGGGACAGTTTAATACTTTCATTATTTCTGATTGGAATAACAACAACAAAAAAGGGCTAAAAGTTAGAACGGTCCCAGTTTTACAGGGACGTCTGGTAACTCTAATTCAATATTACTAACTGTTAAATTAATATTTCTTTTTGTACCTGAGTTCGGATGACGAGGGGACTTCGGACTGCAAGATAAACTCATTAGCACCATGGCAGCGGAACAATCATTCATGATGTCAGTGTCGTCTGCAGAACTTGGTCGTCTTTTTCGTCCGCTAGGAAAACGAAACGATGTGTTTATGCTAAAGAAGATTTAAAAGTACATATATAACTTTATAAACAATATAAAAAAAGCTTAATAATAACATCTGTATTTTAAAGTTCACCGAAAAGACAAGAGAGGAAAAATAATTAAACCTTAAAATATATGTATATATTTAACCAATATGAAGTCAAATGCACGTTATTTATAATATATTTCAAAACAATATTTCACTGAAAGTGTTGACATGTTCTATCTTCATATAATCCAGAAAACTTTAAGATTTGATATACTTTTTAATATCTATACTTCAGGGCCCGGTGGTTAGGGTTCTTGACTCGCATTCTGAAGATCGCGGGTTCGAATCCCTGTCCCACCAAACATGCTCGCCCTTTCAGCTGTGAGGGCTTTATAATGAGTTGGTAAAAGAGTATCCCAAGAGTTGGCGATGGGTGATGATGACTAGCTGCTTTCCCTCTAGTCTTTCACTGCTAAATTAGGGACGGCTAGCGGAGATAGTCCTCGTGTAGCTTTGCGCGAAATTCAAAACAAACTATACTTCAGAACGGAGACCTGTACAAGAGACAGACACGTGTGTAAAAAGGCTTTTTAAAGCACAATATATTACGCGTTTGTTAGTGTAAGATATTCTTACGTAAATTGAAGTTAAACGATATTGCACAATTCAATAAAATATATAGTTCCACTGCAAGTCACACTTGTAGTAGCTCAGCCTGTTTGGATAGGTTCGAATTGTTTGAATGAAAATATGTATTTCGCTATCTCTTTGCTTTTTTATTTTTACATTTTTAATAAATGATAAAAAATCGTTACAGAAAAAATGTTTTTCTGCTACTTGAAAATTTAGAGATTTGATAATTTAAAAAAAAATATATTGGCCGAGTTATCTGCCTTTTTAAAAAAGACAAAAAGTACACAAATTGATTTACAAAATCGTTTATATACGTTCTGAGGTATTTTTGTAATGATATTTTATGGCTATAATATCGTAATAGTTTACACAGATAGCAACAACCACGAAGGAGGAAACTGTAGTAACTCGCAAAGTCCGGATAAGAGTTCTGTAAAAAAAGTTTATCGAGAATGTTGTTACATGCGTTTTCAATGTGCCTAATAAAGGAACAAAACGACCGAGTATTATTCAAATCTTTGTCTCTGATTTGACGTTTCTCATTATAGAAAAAATAAAAATATTAGAAAACAGCCGTTTCAAATTTTATTCTCAAATTCTACTAACGTTACACTATTGAATATACTCAGACAAATCGTGAGTATAGATGTTAGAAAATAGTTGAACATTTGAAATTTTCACTTAGTTTGTCAGTTATACAATATACTCCCAACAGTAATAATGGGTGAAATGAAGATTTTACTTCCAAAGGCAAAAGATGATGCATAATTTAGAAAATTCTTTTTCCTCTACTATATTTTCTATGTTGTAATACTCTACTTTTATGTATCGTAGGTACAGCAGTATATCGAAAACAAATTGTTCTGTTAAAATAATAAGAGTTTTAAGTCGCCACAATACAGAAGTTTAAATTATGGGTAACTTACTTTACTGTTACAGACTATCTAATATCGAGTGTTCAGCATGAGAGCCTGTTAATTGAAACTTCCAGTTTACTTTTGGTTTGTTCTTTTAAATATTGAAAGCTACTAATAACTAGTAAATTTCAGTAACATTGCACATGTGATCAGTAGTGTGTGACAGGAAACCAATTCTAGGCTCGATATTAGCAGTGGCTGCTCGCAAAGGGGTTAGTGGGTTCTAGTGTTCGGTGACCATTAAGGGGTACCAGTATTTTTTGCCAGTTGATAAGCCAGTCATGGTTATAAATATTCAACCCAGATTTAAAAATCATTAAAAAACAAACAAAAAACGCTGGCTGCAAGCCCATTTGTGCGTAAAGACACATGTTAATCGATCGATAAGCCTTTTCCAGTAGCTTACTACGCATCTCCAAGTTTAAAATAGGAAGAAAAACAAACATATTACAGTATATTAAAAATTACGAAATCGAAAACGCGATGATTCGTGGAAATTCACATCAGCTGACTAGTTATATCAGCTAAGGGCATGCAACTCGTGATTTTCTTTTGCCAACGTTTGCCAATAATCAAAAAAGTTAATTTCAAGCCCTGGAATTTTACTTTAACCAGTGACACGTCCAGGAAAGTACTTTGTTTTAGTAATGATAAAGGCAATGTAGAAAGCACTAGCGTTTGGCCTAATTTCAGATTTTCTAATTAGTATTTTGACTGTTCATTCAAAATCATAAACGCATAAAAATTATCAAAGCTTGCTAATTATTACAGAAAACCCAGGGTCTTATTTCTGTGGTATGTTAATTATGCTAATCTTAACTAATGTTTTGTTTTTCGTGATGCTTAATAGAAAAAGTTAGCACTATTTTAATTTTTCTTATAACTGTTAAATTCATTCCCACATCGCAGCAAGGAAACACATACCTTGTTACAGTATCTTTCTATAAACAAACCTTCACGGATCTGGTGGGTAGTGCGCTCAATTCGCAATATGCTGGTCGCCACATTGAAACCCATTACCTAAAATATTTGCCCTTTCAGCCATGAGTACATTATAATGTGACACGGTAAATCACACTTTTCGTTAGTCAAAAGTAGCCCAAGAATTGGCGGTTGGTGGTGCTGATTAGGTGTCTTCTCTCTTGTCTATTACTTCAAAATTAGGGATGGCTAGCACAGATATTTCTCAAGTAGCTTTCCGTGAAATTCAACAAACAAACAATCCATTACATAAGCTTGACGGTTTTGGTAGTTATAAAGACCCAGTACAACCGCTCAGATGCAGTGCTTATCACAGATGTGCAAATTTCAGAATCTGAAATCCTGTGTGTTTAAATTATAAAAGTACGTCGCTACTTTCGTTACTTAATTATAACAAACGTGCATGTGATTTAAAAAAAAATATAATGTTACAGGGTTTCATTGGTTCTTAAACGTTTTTTTTTTGTATAAAATCTACAAGTATTTAGGAATCCGGATTAGCAGTCAACGACAAAACAATAGCGAACAAAAAACCGTTTATATTTGATGTTATTGTTCTACCATATATATAGTCCTTGAACTTCTTTCTTCGTATAAAATATCCATGCATCACAAATTATCAAATATTCCTATAAATATTTTAATATAAGTCTTAATTATTAAGAGTCACACCATTATGAACTTTTTAATGTCAATCCCACAATAGGCACATTGTTATTATATTTTTCATATTGTAATTTGTTTGTTAGATAGAGGAAGCTGCGGGTCGTAATGATGACGTTCGGTCGAAAGGTTTAGAGATATAGGCCTAGAAAATTCTAAAGATTAACGATTGTATTAAATAAGAGGTTTGGAGAAGAGAGTTAAAAGACATTAGAGTTATTCTCATCTGGTAGAGTGAATCGGTGAAAGTGTATTTTGCTTTCAAATAGTTTGTTTCCAGTGAAATATTTGGATTTGTTTTAGCTATCGCGCATATTGAGTTGCTTGATCGATCAGTCATGAAATTCAAGTCTGTTTATTCTTTACGTTAGATTGGTGCATTTAGCGTCATTTTTAAACGTACAAGTTACCATAGTATTTAAGCTTGTCGAAACGTTAAATAATGAAATAAACATGTTTGTTATCGTTACGTGGTTTGGAGGTGGAATTATTTTTACCAAATAATTTAAAAGAATCGTCAACAAAAGAAAACTACGTTTCAACAATATATTGCTATAATATTATTAGCACAAAACTCAGGTGAACTATTTTCTTTACTTGAACAGTCATACGATAATCGAAAATCAAAATCACATCTAGATGATTAAGTTTAGGTCTACTAACCGAGTCTAACAAGGTTAAAAGCCAAACACAATCTGATGAACTAGATATAAAAAATGACTGACCAACTCGTTTGCTCCCAAGTTTCAAACTGCTACCAACTTTATATTTTAGTGAATATTTTTGTTTATAAGATAAATAAAGAATTGGGAATTTAAAAACCTGCAAGTGGGGATCTTAAAAAAAGTAAACAAATAAGACTGGATATACTGTAGATATTATTTACTCAAACTACAAATCTCTATTTTGGCTCCATACTGTTACCTAGAATTACATTTGGTGGAGTCAAAATAGGGATTTGTAGTTTGAGTAAATAATGTCTACAGTATCTCCAACCTTGTATGCTTACGTCTTTACGATCCCCATTTGCACGTCTTTAAATTCCAATTTTTTTATTTATCTTGTTTGCTGGCATTTTTTAAATCTCAACTACGGGCAAAGGATTATTGATATGATAGCTAACCCTATACATTGTAGTGATAATAAACATAGCTAGTTGCTAGATGATACGGTTCATGATGATTTACTAGCTATTGACTATGTGATCTCATTAGTTCGAAATGTAAACTGTTAAGCTGCAGTTGGAGAGTGTCATAGAGGTTTGTTTGAGAATATAGTGAGAATTTATAGTTATTATATAACTAAATTCTCTATATATAATGCATAGCAATGGGCAAATATGTGCCTAGACTAAGACACAATTCCAGTATAAAAGCAGCTTTTTCAAATCAAACATCTTCGTCTAAAATATCGCTTTAAATAAACCTTCGTGTCTTTTGAAGTAGTTATTCTACGAATGTGTGTAATGAAATGTAATATTATGTGCATTGATTTTTTAAAATCCTTCACTACATGCATAATATAGAGGTTGGCTCCCTAAAGACAACGACTGTATAGCTTACAAAGCACTGAGTATATACATGTTACAGTCATCTAATGTTCATCTAGTATTAGTTGGTAATTCCTGTTTCACCCTGTACTTATGTTTTTAAAGGAACACCATTTATTTATAAAAAGCTAACTTCAAGGTGTAATGATAACATCGTTTACATTAGAATTAACTTATGTAAAAATACAGAAGAAATAAATCGTATTTTCAATACCCCTACGACCTTTACAGTACCTTATTTAGTATTCTACAAAAAGTTTGAGTACAATATACCAAGCTGTTTTTGTTGTAGGCTGGCAAGAGAAGAATAATAATAATTACAAACGGGACTTTTTGAGAAGATTTTCTTTTTCCTTGTAAGTCTAACATGCGTGTTTTTTCGCGCATATTTATATGTGTACAGTCAATAATAAAGATTTTAATGCGTTGTTTGAACCGAATCTTTACTTTTTATGGTGTTTTTTGCCTGGACGTTCTGTTACGGTTTTGTGCAATTCCTTGAGTGGTTCTATCGTGGTTCATGATATCTTAGTGTTTTCTTATCATCAATATCTTATAATCTTAAGCATAGAAAAAAAGAAGGCGGGCTACACTTTTGTAAAAGGTATCTGCTAATTTTGAACTGATAGATTACGGATAGTCAACAGCACCGACCGTCAACTCTTTGGCTACCCTTCTGTGACCAGGATTTAACCGTCACCTTTATAATTTATTCTATGCAGTAACGTGACGTAAACTGTAGATTCAGAGTCCAGCTCGCTAACCATTATTTACGCTCAGCCCTATTTCAAAGTGTTTTGTTTGTTTTCTTATGTTATACTCCCTTGTGGGGTTGAAACGCAGCCTTAATATCACCAATTTTGCCCAAAGAAAACAACATAAAACAATGACTTGATTTGGTAGCAAACTAAATCAATTTTAAGCTGTATAGTAACTTTGTTTCAAACGATTCTTTAAAAAGTAAATAGGTCAGACATCTTTTCTCTCTCTTTGCGCGTTATATTCGTAATATATCAGTATAGCAGATCATTCGTTTTGGCTTAGTGTTTCAGGGCAAGGTGAGCAAGAAACCACATATCCTTTCACCCGTTTACTTTGACAATTGTAAATGTCAGTGTCAAAAATGTTATGCAATTCTCAAAACCAGGAGATGGGATCTTGACCTACTACTTTCTATACGTTTGGCCTTTGGAATTTGACTTTGACACATTTCCAGAGGTTTCAAAAGGGCACGATGAAATATCAATCACAAAGGACAAAGTTAACTGAATATATTAGGCGTGTCCTCAATCAGATTGAGTTCACAGCTGTTTTTTTCCAATTTCATCATGGAACAAAAATGGTAAACTGTCCACACTGCTTCAGAATCAGTAATTAGAACAAATCAAATGACTATGAAAATATTACTGTAAACGCATAATGACGACAAAACATAAGTGCGGAAAATAATATAGCCAACTTTATTTATATATATATATATAAATTATATATGTAATTACTCATTTCTTTGTCACATGCGAAGGAACCACGTGTTATGATTTAATAATTATATCAATAGGTAAAATCAACCGAGTGATTTTCCACATCGCAGTTGTCAAATAACACGAATAAAGAAAGAGGAAAAGGCAACTAAGATCTGTTACATCGGAAAATATGCCTAAAACCCTTACAATAAAAGGTAACTAAGATCTGTTACATTGGAAAATATGCCTAAAACCCTTACAATAAAAGGTAACTAAGATCTGTTGTAAGGGTTTTAGGCATATTTTTCGATGTAACAGATCTTAGTTACCTTTTATTGTAAGGGTTTTAGGCATATTTTTCGATGTAACAGATCTTAGTTACCTTTTATTGTAAGGGTTTAGGCATATTTTTCGATGTAATAAAAGGTAACTAAGATCTGTTACATCGGAAAATATGCCTAGAACCCTTACAATAAAAGGTAACTAAGATCTGTTACATCGGAAAATATGCCTAAAACCCTTACAATAAAAGGTAACTAAGATCTGTTACATTGGAAAATATGCCTAAAACCCTTACAATAAAAGGTAACTAAGATCTGTTACATCGGAAAATATGCCTTAAACCCTTACAATAAGAGCTGTCACGTAAGCTTCACCTCTACCCTGTACAATAATAGACTCTGCCGTTTCAAGTAATCAGCTGACAGCTAAACAGCTGTTGTTGAACGTGTTCGTGTGCAGTTGTTGGATTTTAAACAGGTCGCGTATAAGCGAACAGTACCCGCGGCTTCAGCTGTGACCGTTTTGTTCTAGCCTTATGCTTGTCATGACTTTTCTCTAACTTTTGTATCAAATAAAACACAATAAACATGACTATAAATATTATGTATAAATGGCTAAATAGGTTTTTGGATCAAAGAGATAATGTTATATTTTTGGCTATACGACTACATTATTGGAAGGCAAGCGAGAAAAAAGAAAATATTTTGGAATGCATACAATAAATACATATACTTTAATAATAAATGTACTTTTCTGTATAAGTATTCCACTCGTATTAAGCGCGCAGTAGGATCTAAGAAAGAAGTTTCAAACTTGTCTGTGTAGATCCGTTAATGATTTTATTAGGGTAAAACATCTGATGGTGTACTTACACTTTTTTGTTCTTGTTAGATAATATCTATCACTAAGATATTTGTTCAGAGCAGGTTAAAGATAAATTTGAAAGTGTGAAAAAATTGAAGTACAATGTACACTTAAAACAGCTGTGGTTCACAAAGAATTCAACTGTTTGCTTTAGCACATAGCTACACAATGGGCGAAATGCGCTCTGTCCACCAGAGGGACGAGCCACGGATTTTAACGTTCTAAGCCTGAAAACTTACCGTTGACTCACAAGAAACAATAATTCCATTGAACTACAAGAAAGACAATAGACACATGTGACGTCAGACAAGCTAGGTTACACTAAAAATAGACTTAACCCGCCGAATTACTCTTTATAATTTTATTAAGCAATAATTAAATTATCCTGGGTGTAGAATTTAGAAAATTGATTAAAAAGTGTTAGAATTTCCACCTTTGATTTAAAAAAGATGATAATTAAAATAATGGCAAATCGGTTAGAGACTTAGAACAATATAAAAATATCTCAAGTCATATTTTATTATGAATGTAAACTAAACCCCACTATTAGCCTACAAAAAGGAATTTTACCTATGCATCTGTAAGGGCGGAACGTCAATGGTAAGGGATGGGGGTCGTCTCTTAGTTTCAGACTGACCTTCAGCAAGTCTCGAATAATCAGTATCTGAATCTTGTAGACGCGCAGATTTCCGACTTTCTACCAAACGAACTTCTTCTAACTTCTTTTTGAGAACTACAGACTTTGTAACATGTGGATTGTGGGAGGAGGGTTCCACTGTAATGAATACCTGATCTAAGTTGGGTCTATGATGGTCAACGATTCCTGCAACTTCTCGGCCTTGGTAAGTTACGTAAACTCTCTGTCCATTTTTCAATTTCACACGGTGAACACTTTGGAATCCTGGGCCTATTAGTTCATGTAACATAAACTCTCGGACATTTTTGTCCTCAAATTGAACACAATAAATATTTTCTTGGCTGTTTTCACCCGTTTTGGTGGCTTGAATAACGCCAGGATAATAACGTCCGTCCTCAAACTGCGCGCATACTCTTGTCCCTAAGATAGAACGCTTTGCCAGACGTTTTCCGGTTGACATTGTTCTGCATGCTCATCTAATACTTGAGTGACTATATCATGAACGATCAATTTATATTGTTAAGAACAAATGACTTAAATCAACGCAAGCACAGTTTGACAATAACCACCACTCGCTTTTCAGCCGTTTACGTCTTTTGTCGATCTCACATTACCTGCTCCCAACGTCAACAAAACCATGTGATTAATAACGCTTCTGATTGGTTGGTATCGTGGAGTCACAACGAATGATAGGTTTTCTTGGAAAGAAATAGGTTAAACGTCATAACCAAACGAGCGTAACTTTAATATTTTGTCGACATCGTTGTAACAACATTTATTAGAAATTATTTGGGTATTATGTTTAATCTTTGTTCTAACAAAAGTCACAGTCGAAAGTTAAAGTCAATTTTTATATGTTAAGTTAACCTATGTTACAAATAACTTTCAAAGAAAAAACACCCAGTTGATTTCACCAAAAAATACTTGTGTCAACAAATTCGTGTCTCACATTGGCGTGGTCTTCAATACGTAGAAGCGTGTAAATTTAGATCCGATATTTTATCAGAGTTTTCATTCATGTAAGTAAAAACGTGTTCAGCAATTTATTTATGAAGTGGTATTTTTTTTTTTTCACAACCACCTTAAATGTTACCGTTGGCTGGATTATCACACGCTTTAAAAATGTAACGATATATGAAAAATAAATATTTTATGAAACTGATAATAATTTAATATTATCTTCAATATATAACGTTGGTGATATATGCGGCATGGATAGCAGCATTTATTTTGCTTGTTGTTAAGCGCAAAACTACATGATTATCTGTGCTATGCTCACCATAGGCAGACTTACCGCTAAGCAACTGGCGTATATTTCTAATTTTTTTATTATGAATTTATGCATTTATTAAAATAAAAAAATATTCTAAAAAATTAGTGCTTGTCTATCTGGTGAAAACCTGTGTAGAACAAAAATGGACAAAAGATACAATAACAAATTAAATGTGGATAGGGCCAATTAGAGGGGAGCAGGAGGACCATTTGGCCTGGGCCTTAAGCTCAAAGAGGGTCTCAAATTGAGAGACTCGTTATTGTTTTGCATTTGTTAAGTTGCGTGACTTCCATGCACAGAAAAAGGCTAGAAAAGCATTTATTAAATATTAAATAACGTTAATAAATATATGTTCAATGAAAAAAATGAAAATTTTCAAATTGTGTTTCACTTTTCTTTTGTACTAATGATTGTATTTTTTTTTCTTTCTTTCTTGTATCATTTTTTATTTCTATTATAACCAGGGGCCTTAAAATACCCCATTCTCTGCGGTGGACACAACGTATCGGTTAAAAAGAAACAACCAAAATGGCCATCAAATAGGCATAGGAACATAAACGCAACAAATTAATACTATATTAAAAAAGACTGGGAACTAATGTAGAAAAAGATCCGTTAAATACACGTCACTATAAGCTTAATATATTTAATTTTTTCATATTTGTCTTACGTTTGTTAAATTCTCCGTTTTTCATTTATTAATATTGCACTAACAAGCCAAGTCTGCGTTATTTTTTTAGCTCTACGTACAATTTGATTTGTCTCTTAAATCGAGTGAAGTTTATTGCTTGATGAAATATCCAAATGATTAAGTTGTAATAATATTTTCAGAAGAAAAAATTATTACCAGGAAAATTCAGCCGCTTTAATATTTTACTTCGACCACCGAACAACAAGGAAGTCGGGTCACAAATTTTGAAAGTGCGTTGTTGTTGCTCGTTATTAAACACAAAGGACTATCTGTGCTCTGCCCACCACAGGTATCTAAACCCGGTTTCTTGTAGTATAAGTCAGTAGACATACCTCTGTGCCACTAGGAAGCTCGGAAGTGCGATATAATTAAGGTAAGACAATATAATCTCGGTATTTCTTGATCATTGGATTTGATTGCATGTGATAATTATTAAAGAAGATATATTAACATGTTGTTAAAATTCATTTCAACATCAGTTTGTCAATCAGAGATCGACCCGGCTGGTAATCGAAAACCCAGATACCCGTCGGGTTTTTAACTGCGACTCGGGTCTCTTTTGACTGTCCTTGTATCAATTATTACCCTCGCCCCCCTCGGGGTGGAGGTGAGAGCGAGAGTGTGAGTCTGTCAGTCTGTGTTTCCGCGCGCGTATCTCGAAAACTAATAGACCGATATACACGAAAATTAATTTTACTACCAATTCTTTTCTGTGGCATACGACAGACAAGCTTCTATAAATTTGTTTTTGATAACCATAAATTATTATTTCACATTGAGAATAATTATTAAATCCACAATAATAATTTCTAACTTATTTTCCAAAGTATTATTACATTGAGCCGACACTGACTGCTTTTATTGATATAAGCTACCGAACGTATTGCCATCTATTGATTTAAATATGTTATAATTTTAAAAAATGCAACCCGTCACAAATAAACAACAGCACATGTATAATATATTTTTTATATTATATTATTCTATCTATGCGAACTTTTTCAGTTTAAAATGTTTTAAATACGAATTTTATTCCGAAACCTATCAAATCAAAGATGCTTTAAAGTGAAGTTGAGATTAAGGAAAAAATTCAAAATATCAAAGCAATTTTTATTCCATGTGGTATGGCAACTAATATTTTCTATTACAATAGTTTTTTGTTTAAAAAATTCTCAAACATATATTTCACGACTCAAGTTATGTAAAGTACTAACCATCAACTTGCCGACTTGTGTTTTACGGTCTGTTACCATCTGCTTGTTTGATAATTTCCAGTAAAAATTCTTTCCGAGGAACTACAGCGATACAAATCCGTTCTTGATTAAAACTAGTTTATTCTTTCTCGATACAACTTTTTGTAATACACAGAATTTTCACAGTAACTTTAAACTTAACAGCCTTTATAACACACGCTATAAATCGCAGTGATTCACACACTTTATTTACGGTGCCTATTTTTGGCTTGACTCAATTATCTCTCCCTTATTTTATTTGCCGGGCTTATTTACTAAAAAGAGGGCGTCCCAAACAAACTAGGAAATTCACGATCATTCGAGAAACTCCTCGCACACGCCACCAGCGCCAGCAATGTCACGTGACTTCCGCTGTCGTAACACTGCTCCTTCCTTAGTATTGTTCATCCCGAACAATAGCCACTTACATTAAACCAATAACTAACTAACAATAACTTAATTAAATGTACAGAATTTACAAACGCAAAATTAAACTAGAACAAAGTCTCTTAATTTTACAGGATATTTATTCTTTCGTACTGGTCTCCGTCTCATTGGCTTCTGCTTCACGTGGGGTTCATCTGCTCCATCAGGAAATGTCCCATTATCGGTAGCAGTCACATCAGTGGTAGTAACTTCATTAAGGGCTTCACTGTTTTCCTTCTCAAAACCGAGTAGAGTTTTTTCTTAGACAGTGGCTTTTTCAGGTGACACGTCTTCAGCAGCGTCATTTGTTCCATTGTTCACATTCTTCCAACTGAAATGTCCTGGACCGTGATAACGCCAAAGCCTGTTGGCA